AATCAACAACTTGTCATTTTCATTGCATTACTGAATCCTGACATATTAAATATGGAATGGGTATTTCGTATCAGCTTGTGATCATCAGCACCTACTGTGCTATCATCAACTTCGATTTGTAGATATATTATTGTATTTATATTACGGAATAATTGTTACAGATCTTCTGTATTTGTCCATAGATAGCACATCATATGTACGACAAGTCTCCTTTCGTAATTCATAGGCCTTTACATTCGTTGTAGTCATTCAATATCCATAGAGAACTATTGTATTCATTTGTAAACTGGCTTCATATAGGAGACCCTTATATGCATCTATAAGCAAGTATAATCCTTCGATTATTTGTAAGACACCATAGAGGCAGATATCTCGTGCAGACTACTTTCATTTGCAAGTGCGTATTTTCACATCATTGCACTTTGATTTTTAGTATTCATGGGTGAACCATCGACGAACTATTGCATTAATCTCCTTTGCTGACACTATTGCACTCCTTCATATTTATTCATTTGTCGATCTATTGCATCGCTGATATTTGCTTGCCATCAAGTTACATGTCGAGTTTTTTTTTGTTGTAGTTGATTGTATGATTGACGTAGATGTCATTTGCTCTCCTTCACAGGTTGACTCGGCTGAATACTCTAAGCTATATTTTTTATCATTCATGTATGCATGGAGACCCATTACACATATAATGCATCTACTATCATCATTTATAGGTAGATTAACGTGCTCACTTGCAAGCTATTGTTGCCTGCTAGCTGTGTTGCATTCTCCATCAATCACTTGATTGTTGCACCTAAGCATGCCATATTGAACTCTATAAGTCTTCTATTGTTGTATGGAGATCTTTTAAATCTTGTGCAATAAATTTGCTTGATAAAATTCACATTTCAGTATGACGACACATTAATATCTTATCGAAGTCATATGCTTTGAATGCAATCATATTGTTGCATTTTCCGATTAATCTTTGCTTGAGAAGAGAAGTGCATACGATACGTGTCTATTTAATTATCAATCATGTTTGAATAGTACTCCAATCAAGCTCAAGTTCAATTTAAATTTCCTTGCATTTAGTTCAATTGAGTTCAAGCTCTGTCTTAAGCTCAATGTGCCAGTTCAATTCAAGTCCAAGATGAGTCCAAGTTTGAATCCGACTTCGAATTCGAGTTCATTTCAAGTTCCATGCCATCATGAGCTTAATTCTTTAAAGTTCACACAAGCTCAAGTTCAATGTTCAGGTCCCCTGTAGTCCCAAGTATTGTTCAAGTCTAGTTCATGCTTGAATTCCTTGTAGTCTATTTGAGTTCAAACTCAATTCAAGTTCAAACCTTTTGTGGTTCATTTAAGTTCTAGTTTAGGTTCAAGTTATGTTCGATAGGATTTGGTCCAAGCTTAAGCTTCTGAATTTAGTCTGAGTATAATGTGCAAGTTCAAACTTTGGTCCTCAACTTATACATTTAAGTTCAAAGCAGGTCTCATGTTCACCCGAAATTTTGACAACCTCCCTGCATCTCCCCCGTTTAGGTGAAACTACGATAAACTGGGCCTTCCCACGACGCACAATAAAGACGTGTATGATAGGTGTCCTTAGACACCGCGACCGTGATCTTCATTCCCACCACGCGCAATAAAGGTGTGTATGGGGCCTTCGAGGGTACCTGTTTTAAAACACAGTTGGCTTTTCCCTTGCTCGAGGGTACTTATGAGTAACCCCGCCTCATCGTAGGCGTCGCACCGGGTTCCCATCCCACCACGCACAATAAAGGACTCAATAAATGATTTTCCAGTGCGCCACGAACTCCAAAATGGGGCTTTTAGGTGATTACCCGTCTCTTCATAGGCGCTGCATCGGGGTCCAATCCCACCACGCACAATAAAGGCGTGTATAGGAGGCTTTTCGGTGCGTCACGAATTTTGAGAGTGAGAATCTAAGTTTCAAAAAATTTAAACGTTTGCGGGGTCGTTCGCACGCATATCGAGGCATGCATTTGTATTTCTTTCTTATTTTTTGGAAATCTCTTTTTTTTTTAATCTCTTTTTTCACAAAAATAATTATTATTATTACAACTATAATAATAATTATTATTAACTATAATTATAATAACAATCATAATAATTATGATTACTATTACAATCAAAATTATTATTAATGTTATCAATAATAATAATAACAACTATAAACACAATAATTATCATTAATCAACCATAATCTATAATAGAAAATAGTGATGAGAACTATATACCTATTATTGTCTCGGCTAAGACCAGGAGAAGAAGACGGGTGAACTAGGGCTGGAGTTCGGCTAGGAGAATAGTGGAGATCTGCAATGGGAGTAAAAGGCAAGGTAGAAGTCGGGATGGGAAGGCTCTATCAGGGCATGGCGACTGACCGGCTTCGGTTTAGAGAAGAGAAGGGCGACGATCTTCAGGTAAGGAGCTTCAAGAGGACCGAGAGTTTGGGCAAGAGATGAGATCGGGATGGGAAGAGGTTGGCTTCGACTCTATTTCGCCTATGGGGGTCAGTCGGCCTAGGAAGAGAGGGAGGAAGGGAGGTCGGCTGCAAGCAGAGGGGCGACAGGCAACTCTGGTCGTTGAGATGGAGTCGGGTTCTCTGCAAGTAGAGAGGGAAGATGTGCAAGGTAGAGGAGAGCTGTAGCTGAGGTCAGTCGTGAGTTGAGTGATCGGTCTGGAGATTTGATTGCAGGAGCAAGTTTGCGTTTCGATTTGGGGTTGTGGCAGAGATCGGGAGGAGTTCTGCGTGTTGGAGTAATATCGAATGCTTCGTTTGAGTTGGGTATTTAATGACGCTCGCAAGGTCCAATTGAGGTAAGCTACGCATGGTCTGCTCTGAAATGGCGTCGATTTACAGAGGTATGGGGCAACTATGGCGACGAGACTGTAGCGAATGATAGGATTTTCTACGGGATTTTCTTACAGGTTTGACAAGGTATGTATTCTTTATTCTCCCTTTTTTGTTTTAACCGTAGAGGTCAACATATTTATAGATTTTAATTAAATTTGACACAGTTCATTAGGCAATATTTGAGTAGTTTGGAGGAGTTTAAACGTTAATAACAAAAGGTTTAAATCCACATATCTAACTATTTAATTAATATTTTTCTTCTAAGAGGTCTTGGGTTCAAGTCCCGCTCATGTGTTGTGTGTGTGTTTGGGCGCTGCCCCTAATTCGCCTCCACCCCCCGCGCCCCCACATAAAAAAAAAAATAAATTTCTTCTAATAACATACATAAATTTTAAGAAGTATCAGAAATAAAAAAACTTGAAGCAAGAATATAAATAAGTCATTAAAAAACTAATTAAACCTATCATAAAATGAGTATTATATAAAAAATTTTACTGAGTTATTTGTTAAAGAATGTTCATAAATATAAATGATCAAGTCAATATTCAAACTTTCTTATCTATATGATAAATCATTAAAAATTTACTTGTATTTGTTCAATTATGTAAATAAATTAATGTAAGAGAGCTTTATACAAATAAGTATTAAATTGCTTATTAAGTGTATTTGTTCACAAACAACCCTATCTACAAGTAGCATATACTATGATACCTAATTTTGAAAAAAAAAAAACTAATTTTGAAAATTCTTTATAAATATTTTCATAACAAATAAAAATAAAATATGAACCTAAGCATAAGTGTAAATAGATTGAAGCATAACCGTGAATCACTATAAAATTTGTTCTCCGGAAGATATTCAATAAAATGGACCCTAATCAAGGGCGAAACCCCATGTAACCCAGGGGGGGCAATTGCCACCCCTCAAAAAACTTTTTTAACTTATAGGAGAGTAAAAAATCATTTTTGCACCACCTAAAAAATCAGTTTTGCCCCCCTAAAAAGCCTTTTTGTCCCTACCTACCATTGATGATGTCCTCTTTACATTTGAGCCATTGATTCTTAAAGCTTGATTCATCTCTATCATAGATTGTATTTTCTGCTTTATCTTCTCTCAATGTATATATATTCTCTATTTTTTAATTGTTATGAAAATGAGTAGTAATGAAGGCTCGTTTTTCACTGCAATAACTTTAGTATAGAAATACTTTTTGAAAGTGACATAATTAGTGCAAAAAAAAAATGTAGGATTTGATTAAGAATATCAATTATGTATATATTTTTTTCGGTTCTTGCAATTTTTTTTTTTAATTTCTTTTTGGTTGAAAACATGGTGATTATTTTGATATACATTTTGTTTGCATTTGGAAACTAAAAAAAAAATTAGATCAAATATAAAGCTTTACTATCTTTCTAACATTTATATTGGATATATATGGAAGTTTTCTACCGATCAAATGTGAGATGCCAAAAGGAAACTTTCACTATATGCACAATAATTAATCTAACCATTATCATCCAATCTTTCAGAGTAGTTGTCCTTTTGATCTGATTATTGTTTTTAATGATATGGTCACTCTGGGGAAATGGTCTAATTCAATTAAGTGGGTTCATCTAATGAATTATTAGACTCAAATGAGATTTCATCAAATGATGAGATATAATTGAACCCTATTCATAAAAAAAATAAAAAATAAAAAGAATTACACCTTAATTATAATGTTGGCATTTGACTAAATTGCAGTTAAAAAATACATATTGATTTCAATGCACAGTAACGAAAGGGTGGAGACCGCCGTAAGACAAATTTTCATCTAAAAATGAACCAATATGACGCTTCAAAATTCTCAAATTTCAAACAGACGAAATAAAAATTAATAAGCAAAATTGCAAAATATATAGCTAGATTAATAAATCTCTAAAATACAAATTGGGAATGGCATTCCGGAGAATATCGCCACTTCCAGCCATTTCGTATGATTAACAAATATGTGGCCCCATCGCCCCATCACTTGTCAATCGAATGAGAGCAACCATGATAGACAAAGATAGCGAAGATAAGTAGAAAAACAAAGATAGCGAAGATAAGTAGAAAAACGAGGATACAGAAATGGAATCGGCAAACCGACCTCACATGAAATAGGTTGGAGACGTCTGTGGGGTCTATGTAGCATTCTAAGGCGCTGAGAAAAGCCTTGTAGGCAATGAGATGGAGCCCCCATATCATCGGAAATGGAAGCCTTGGGCGGGGCGGAAAAAAGCCGGAAACCGCCGCCGCCGACGAAGGGAACGCGTACTCTTTCCATTTAACATCAGCCGGCGGGCTTCTTGATGGTGATGACGGCTGGTTCAGGTTAGTCGATGTCGATGGCTGGGGCACATTTGCGGGGGAGATGAATCCAACCGAACACAAGATGGGCTCGAGGTCATCATGGCTCATGATTGGACTGAAGGTCGGCGTGTGCCAGAGCGCCAGCTTCTTCGATACCTCTTGTATCTTCACACCATACATCGCCGATGATTGTCGACGGCCGAAGGAACCAGCTCCGTTCAACCTTAGATATAAGTTTTTTCTGTCCTTCCTATCCAAGCGGCTTAATTTATCTCCCCTAACCCTTTCTCTGGTATCTGATTTTGAATTCTTTTTAGGATCGCTGTCCACCATCGAAAAGGCCGCGCGCATTGAGGGCAAGAGTTTGTTGCGAGAAGCAATGACGAAATTACCCCTCTAAACGGTTCGGGATCCTTAAGGGGCTGTTTGGTATCGGATTTACAGCGGGATTTAAGTCCGATTTACGCTAAATCCAGCCAAACAGTTTTTGTGCAGGCGTTAAATCCAGGGATTCAGTAAATCCCCGATTTACGGATTTACAGCTTAAATTTGGGACTTAGTAAATCCAAGGGGTAGCCGGATTTAGTAAATCTGAGCGGGATTTATCCGAAGAAGCGCGCGAAGGGGAGAAAGTTACCTTCACAGCCAGCGAGCTCCCGTTCTTGCTTCCGATCAAAATGTTGTAGCTTCCGATCAATATTTCTAACTACTATAAATCCTGAAATATGTTACCAAACAGTTTCTCTGGATTTAACAGGATTTAACATTTAGCATACCAAACAGTTTTCAAGATTTAACACATTTCGGATTTACTATATCCGGATTTACAGGATTTACTAAATCCCACTAAAGTTAAATCCCACTTGTTGCCAAACAGCCCCTTAGGGTTGTATTTTCTTTTATTATACAGCTCGCATTCACCCGTTGGTTGGGTGTTTAAATTTATGTATATAGTTTGATTCAACTCTGTTAGGGTTTCTCTCCTTTAAAATTTATTATACAACCCGCAATTGTAAATTTGTTTTTGCGCATGAAGACATTTCTTCGAATGATCTTCATCTTTCTAATATTCCACAATAGCCTGAAATTATCCCCTTTTCTGGTGCTAAACTAACCAAAGGTGTTGAAGATTGGAGTCTCTATTTAGTCGGGTATTCCATTGGTCGCAGGCCATATTACGAAGCTTTGCTTGGCGCCATTAAAAAAACGTGGAATCTTAAAGGTTCATTGTAGATGCTATCCCTTAGTTATGGTTTCTTCTTATTTATGTTTGCTTATTCGGAAGATCTGGATTTGGCGTGGTCTAGAGGAGTTTGGTTCCTCCATGGCAAGCCATTTATCTTGCAAAAATGGCACCCTAAGTTCAAACTAAAGAGGGAAAACCTTACATCAGTTCCTATCTAGGTAAAAAATTAATGACCTGCCCCTTGCATGCTTGAATTCGGAGGGTATATCAAGTATTGCGAGCAAGGTTCGTATACTCCTTGCTGCAGACTCTCTCACAGCCAAAAAGACTCGTCTCACATACGTAAGGGTTTGTGTTCTAGTGGATAGTAATGCGACATACCCAGAGGAGATTAAAGTTTCGTTGGATGGTGATGTCATTGGTCTAAAAGTTCAATACGAGTGGAGGCCCACTCCTTGTGAACAATGTAAGTCTCTTGTCCATTATTCCTCATTATGTCCTTCTAAAATGCGATCAAATGAGCTGAATTCGTCTTCTGAAGCTCCAAAAGACCTACCTCCGAGAGGAAGAAGCCATAGCCATAACCCGAAGAAGCGATAGCCCTCTTCGCAACCTGTCAAGAACCCAAATCCGTCCACAACTCCCGCTCATACCGAACCTATTAAGAACTCTCTACTATCTATTACTAACCCTCCTCCACCTAGAAACAATTTCAATCCTTCTGACATTTATTTGAAACAAGTTAATGTAACCAATTCAATAGGGTAGCCTCTCCATTACCAACCTCACTCGCCTCCCCCTCAACAGCTCATTAGCAACCACCCTATTGTCCCTCAAAAATCTCAATCTAATCCTCCAATTGAACTAGCTATCTCAATTCCCCCTATTAATTCATGTGTTTTAGCATCATGGCATGCTACTATTCTCAATCTCAACTCCCCTATGGAAGAGACCTCTATTGTGAATCTAAACTCAAGGATTATAATTTTGATGATAGAAAATATTTTTGACACTTCTATTTTTCTACGAATGCCTTGTCTAATAATATTTTAGGTCCATAAGGTCAATTGCAAATCAATCCATCTTAAGATTGGGTAGATTAGGACTAAGTCAGTTTGTAAGTGTACATCAAATATTTTTATCATTTCTTGAGTCAAATATAATAAATTGGGTTCTGATGCTAAGTAACCTTGCACACACACACACTAAGGGAGAAAATTCTATTTATTATAGATATTTTTATTTTTGATTATATCGTCCAGGATGATCCCAAATAGTCCTGGACGATCAATTAAAAATAGAAACTCTAATTAGGGCATCCTAGTTAAGGCATCCGAAATTAAGCAAATCGTTTTGAATGATATTAGCATCGTTATGGACGATAGCCTAAAATTAGAACGAATCAGCCACAAACTCTTTCTGGCATGTTATTATTTTTAGACATCATCCAGGACATCGTCTTGGATGATGTATTACAAATATACCTAAATTAGTCTGCTGATTAAGGAAAGTAATTACGATTTAATCGATCAATTATATCGTCCTGAACAATCGCAGGATTGTCTAGGACGATCATTTAAACAAATCTTAGTTTCTTCCTGGATGGCCAGAATGATGTTCTAGACGATGTGTATTCATTTAAAATAATCATATTGGATGATTCAAAAGTCATCCAAGATGATCAGTTATTTTTTCATCATCAAACATAGAAAGTTTGATCGAACATAGCGATGATCTGGACAATACATGACATTTTGAACAATTCGTACAAGACAATATTCATATCATCTTAGACCATTAGAATATACAAATCTTCTAATCGTCCAGCCTTTCCCAGATCATCCTAGCTAATTGAGTTGAATTTATACTGATTGTACACCATCGATCGTCTTGGACGATCGTTGTGGTTTGTTGCAATTTAGGGTAAATTTCAAACCCTTCTATTTAATACCTCATGTTTACTCAAGATTGAATCTTTTATTATTGTCCTGACCCGAGAGAGCCAAGAGGAGAGGGAGAGCTTGGGAGAAAGAGAGAGGATCTTATGAAGGTGAGTTTGTGAGGGTTTCATAAAGGTTGCCCAAGCAAGGATTCGAGTCATCTTCTCCAGTCCTCGTCCTTGGTTCCTTGGATGTTCTAGAGAGGTATACTTAAGTGATTGATCGAGGTTCTCTGCCTACTTTAAAAGGAAGTGAAAGGAGTTGGGTTCTCTGCCTACTACAGGAGGAAGCGAAAGAAATTGGGTTCTTCGCCTCACCGGAGTCGGTGGAAACGAGTTTTGTACAAGCTTCTCTTCCTTACCGTGTGAGCAAAATAAGAGTCACTAAGTTTAGTACAAACACGGAGGAGAGGCTATGGGAAGTGGATGTAGGTCAAGTTGATCAAACCATCATAAAATTTTGTGTGTTCTTTTTTATTGCATTTCCATATTTAATTTCTGCACTTTATTTTTCTGGTGAATGATTGTTTGATTTATGGTTTTAAAATATTTTAAAAGATTGTGATTTTATTTGAGAATTTTTAAAAAACCTATCCCCCCCTCTTGGTTAGTCTCAGGCTAGTTCATAACGGCTTAACAATTTTTAAAACTTTTGAATTTTGATCAATGATTAACTTCGATAATCATAATACTGCGGAAGGGTATTATATTACCCGACCACCTTTGTTTAATAACATACTTTTTTATTTTTGGAAAACTATCAATATTTTTACAATTTATTGACTATCGCATGTTGATGCTTGTTAGGGATGTGTATTTACCTTAAACTCGTGAAATTAATGGCATAAAAACTAAACCTTCGTTTATTGAATGGATTTTTGATGATATGGATTTAGCACAACTTAATGCAAAATATTAAACTATTTTTTATGCTTTGAAATTGAAATATTACATGCATGTCTCCACTTGTGTTATTGGTAAAGAAATATAGGATAAATTATGTATTACTTATGAATGGAAAAATAAAGTTAAGAAATCTAGGGTGAATATCTTACTGCATGTCTACGAACTTTTTTTCATGAAACCTAGTGAATTAATATCTGACATGTATACTAATTTTACTTAAATTATCACCTCACTACATGTCTTAAGAAGAGAGCTAACTAATTATGAAAAAAGTTAACAAAATTTTTAGATGCTTGCCTTCTTCCTTTGATGCTAAGATTACTGCAATAATTGAATCCAAGGATTTGAATACTTATTCTATTGATAACTTACTTGGATCACTCATTGCTTACGAGCAAGGAGTGAACCAAATACAATATGATGTTGGTGAGAAAAAGGAGAAAACTGTAGCACTAAGGGCCAATGATATGGATATATATTCTTCTAATTCTAGAATGATAATGTTGACTAAATCACTAGACAGTTCAAAAGTTTTCTAAGGAAGAAATAAAAATACCATCATAAGTGGAAGAAAGATAAGAGAAGCAAGAATTTTAAAAATTCTGCTGATATAATTTGTTTTGAATGTGGGGAGTCGGGACATTTTAAAGCTGATTATCTTAATACTTAAGGATCGCTCAATAAAGGAAAACGGTGAAGAGAATCCAATTTTAGAAAAAATATGAAGCGGACTCAAAAGACATTCTGGGCGAATTCTACATCAGACTCTTTTGAGACTAAAGCTGAAGAGGAGACTATAAATTTAAGCTTAATAGCAGATGATCATCTTAGTAAATCTAACCAAGAAGAGGTATATGAACTAACATACAATCAATTACTTGAAGTTTTTGAGAAAATTTATGCATCATATAGGAAACTTAAGAAATTGTATGCTAGCCTGAAATTAAAAATTTTAAATTTAAAAAAAGAGCATGAAGTGTTATTTAAAGATCACTCTACACTTGATAGCAATCACATGTCATTACTTGATGAGTTTGACGAGTTAAATAAAAAGTATTCTGAGTTGGTCATTGAGCATGATTCATTGAAAGCATCCCACACTGCACTTGAAAATATTTTTGAGACTTTGTGAGGATAAAGGGATTAGTCATAACTTATCAGCTCATAGGACCCCTCAATAGAATGGGGTAGCTAAAAGGAAGAACATGACCTTAGTTGAAGCCACTAGAGTCATACTTGCTAAGTAATCACTTCGAAAATACTTTTGGGCTGAAGCGATAAATACAGTTTGTTATGTGTTGAATAGGGTGAATGTTAGAGCCAAACTGGATAAGACACCCTATGAGATTATTAAGGATAGGACACCCAACCTTTCCCACCTCTATATCTTTGGCTGCAAGATTTTCATTCTTAATAATAGAAAGTCACTCTTAGGAAAATTTGACCCAAAATCTGATGGAGTGTTCTTAGGATATTCAAGTATGGGGAAATCCATTAGGGTGTTTAATAAGATGACATTGGTGGTGGAGGAGACTACTCATGTAGTGTTTGATGAATTTGATCTTAAGATGTCTAGAGTTGATGAAGAAGATGAAGTTTGAGAGATTACTCAAGGAGTTGAAAATTTGGAGAAAAATGTAGAGCCTTAAAACAGTGAATGAGT